CCCCAACATTCTGTGATTCTGTGATTCCTGCCCATCTAACCAAGAAGCCACAGCAATCTTTAAAAGTTCCATATGGAAGTGTAATAACAAGCAAGGTGTTTATATATATATATGAAGCTATCCAATCTCACAATGGCCATCAAAACCATGGGATGTGGCAGGAGCTACAAAAGCTAGTTTGAATAAAATGATTTATTTTCTCCATCCTTCCCTCTCAGATTTTCCATAACTTTGCAAAATACTTCTTCAATATTTGCAGGGACAGGGATGGGAGAGAGTGGAGGAAGAAAGAAAAACTGCATTTAATAGAAAATAAAATTTTACATTGTTATGTTGATAAAGATTTTATTAATTGTAGCAAAGATAAAAATCAAAATCCAAGGATTTTGAGAGGCTTCAATTGTATATCTAAACTTTGACACATTTAGCTTGCTTAATCTATAGATACTTATCCGCATTCTAATATCCAGCATGATTATTTTTCTTTTGGGCATGTATTAAGATGATATTAAAATTAACTCTATTTCATAGTCACAGCTAAGAATAAATGATAATAACCACCTTACAAACCTTAACAACTCAAACATTCTGACTTTATACTTTCTTGAAAGAGAATGAATTTGTGTACCAACTCCGGTTAGATTCTACTATCGCTGTAACTAGAAAAACAAGAGCTGGGAACAGCTAGGCTACAATTTATCTTCTAATTATTGAACCAAAACACATTAAAAAGCCTCTTCCATAATTTATCCTTTGCCTCCTAGTAGGCTTATGAATAATTTGATAGCAATAACAGTTCTTTTCAAGGAACAAACAGGGAAGCACTGAAATGATGTTAATATCATCTTAATACATGCCCAAAAGAAATTCAGATGTCCCCTGAAAATATGCTAGGTGTGTAGACACATCCAGTTGCCTTCTATTTTGATCTTAAGTTCCAAATATATTGTGTTTATTTGAATATATAACTTGCACATACTTCTACCCCCACTAAAAATAAAAAGCTTATACATTACCTTGAACTAGAAGTGAAATATGAGTCTTCTACATCATCGGTGTACTTTTTCTTTGGCTTTGCAATAACAGGTGTTTCCTGTTCTATTGTTTGCATATCTGAGGTGACCGAGTGAGAAATGCCACTGGGGACAGGAAGAAAATAAGTATGTAAACAGATGATAAAGCTCACACCCTAAAAAAAAAAAAAAAAAAAAAAAAAGAGGAAAGGAAAAAATCTAGCTTCTGAAGCTTGCTGATAAAGCCCAAGCTATACAAACATTCGAGAAGAAAGGATAAATTAAAGGGAAAAAAAAAAAACCAAACAAAACAAAACAGCAAGCCCTGGAAAACTCAGCTGTAGTTCTCTGAAGTAGTGACAGGACTTCTGAACACACAGATCATTTCAACAGCTGGAAAACAAAGCAATGTGACTTCTTCAGAGTTCTGGCTTGCAAAAGAGAGGCTATGCTTAAGTTGGCACTGTTCACTGAAAACATCCTGACTGCCTTCCTCATAGTCTTCTAATGGAGGCAAACACTCTACAGACACATCCTATAATTTAATGAACATCTGTCTGACAGGTTAGAACTTAAATCAGAAGCAATCCTGCCCCTTGCCCCTCACAAATACCAGATTCTTTGACCATATTAAGTTTTTTAGTAATTTTTTGTTTCCTAAGCAAAATGAAGGATAAGTGCATAAAGTTACAGAATATTTTAAATACAGTTTATAGAAATTCACATACCTTCTGTTGCTGCCAAATCCCATGCCAAGTCTCTCCAATTCATTTTTCTTCTTGCCAGATAGATTTAACTTTTCTTCTTTTATTTTAATATCAAGATCTCTGTAGGCCAACCGTAAAGATGACACGCTAGAACAAAACATACAGTTAAGATATAACTGTAAAATGCTACACTGAACACCCAACCCAATAATATTGGTAGAAAATTAACAATATATATTGTATCAGTATATTTTGTATGTTCTGTGTTTACTGAAAATATTCATTATTAATTGGATTAAATTACAACTATAAGGATGGGAGAAAGCCAGTAAGAGAAGATTATCTAAACGGTACCCCAGTCTGTGCATGAGCAGGCAGTCTTTTTTTCAAATGAATGTGAAACAAGTTGCTACTAAAGTTCAGGATGCAGTTTTGCATCACCATTGAGTGAACCTGAAAAAAATCTTTTTTCCACATTCCTTACTCTATGTGATATCAAATAATTGTCAAAATTATTAACTCTGACATACAACTGTACTGTGGCATTCATCACACAATGCTAGCAATGTTTCCCCCGCAATGCGCAGCTTGGCCCGGCGATGTCTCCCACCCTTCACCCCTTCGTGCTCCCAGTGGTTTTTAACACTTGCTCTACATACACTCTTGAGACAAGTGCTACAGGTAGACCCCACTTCTTCATTGATGATGCCCTTCCCTATGCCCAAAAAATTGTCTCAGAAGAAGGGAGGAGAGAGTCTTTGTACCCCCCAAATGGAATACATTCTGTACTATGGAAACTTTGAAGCACCCAAAATTTATTATTTCCTGCACAGCTGGCAACACATTTTGTCATCTGAAACATCCTCACAGTTCAGAAATAGTAACCTGTCTTTCTGAGAAGCCATGAACCTTCCTATACCTCAAAAAAATCTTAACTATTTTCCAATAATACCAGTGTAAGAGAGACAGAGGTTTTTAACCTTGATTACATAAATGTAGAAACACTGCTTAAATTTAATTTGTTGGGTTAAAAGGAATAAAAATAGTAATTTTAATGAGCAGCACAGCAATATTTTAATCTATAAATTGTGAATGGCATAAAGTACAAATGAACACTATTAGAAGAAAGGGAAATGAGATTTAGGATGCTGCAGGTATAAGTCCTGCTGCAAGTAGAAAGGGAACAAGGCTGAAAATCCTTCTAACTTTCCATCCATTTTGTGCAGAAGCAGGAGTGAAAAGAAAACAAGTTTTTGACCAAGGAATATTTTCTTCCAGTGTTTCTCCCAACTATATGATTACTGAAACAGGCTCTTCCCAGCTTGATTTTCTTCTGGTCCCATGCATACTGACTTGACTTTAACCAAATCGTCTTCCGTCACAGACATGGGATGTGGGTACCAGCCTGCTATAAGGAACAGGACACCACTCCTCTGATGAGGCCATTTCAAAATGGAGGAGAGCCATCTCAATCTTGTGATGATTTGGTATCCTTGGATTGGGGCTTTCACAGGACTCGGAGCCAGAACTAAAAAATCACTACATCTTATGTTCAAATGCTTATAACAATAGAAGTCAGACACAAGCTAGGATGCATCTCTGGGTTGATTTTTGAAACAAACAAAAAAAAAAAAAAATCAGAAAAATGTATCTTCAAAGCACAAAGTATGTTGAGGGATGTTTTAAATCAATTCTTACAGTTTAGGACCAACTGTTACACAGAAAACTTAAAATGTTCTCTAAAAGTCAACTTGAAACTGATACTGATGAAATCTACCCAGCACTTTAAGTAGAAAGATTAGCAGCCCATCTTATGAAATCCGTTTTATGAACACAAAAAAATCTTATTTGCTGTTGATTAAAACAGATGGGGATAGAAAACTGTGTACCGGTTATAAAATAATATTTTAAGACTTAGGACTCTTTCTCCTTCTAAGTACTAGACTACAAAAGCACCGCTTCCATTCCTGCCACGTAACAAAGCCACAATGAATTAATTTACTAAAGCTCATTACTCAAGCTTTTAAAATTAAAACCACCACACAAATTAGTTGGAAGCAAATACAATTTAAAGTATTCACTTCTCTTTACTTTTGGTATATACTGCCATCTACAGTTAAAAATCCCCAAAATTAATCTCAAGGGTAATACAGTTAATCTTGCTTCTACTGGGATTGGATCCGTGAACTGAAGTGTATGTGCACCCCTCATGCTTGCAGACATTTTTAGGGCGTTCTGGCCACTGCAGCAGGGTTGCAGTGACCCTTACACTAAAGGTTGCCTTGGATTTCTGACACTAAAACCAAATCAAAATATCTAAAACCAAATCACTACTTGGGACTTTCTCCCAAGCTGAATTATATCATTAAAGATAGTATAATTAAAGAATAATAATAAAAAGTAATAATTAACAATATTTTTTCTTGGTATTTAGAAGCCTGTTCCTTTGAACCTGGTAGTTTTTGGCAATCATTAAGAAGCATGACTTTGTGATAAAAATACTTCAGGGAAAATGAATGATCCCCTTGTGATTAGTATTCCTGATGCACACAAAACATCAATTTCTGCAGAGGCTACATAAAAGTGAGCAAAAAGAGTAGGGAGGAGATTATAGACCAAAGAGCTTGTATCGTGAGGTCCAAGTGACTCTGTAATTCTGTAATAATTCATCAAATTTCTCAATAGGTCATAAAAATGATGCATTTTAGCACTTAAGAGAGGACGTCAAGCCTTACAACAGTAAAAATGTACACTAACTAACTCTTTAGTACTCTTAATTTTGATGACAACTAACAAAATGTTAAAAACCAAAAACATGTAGCAGAGAAATGTAGTGGAAAGAATCAGGAACAGCACCCTCCAAGCTTTAGGGCTGAGTATTTATTATGATGGACCAACAGATTTGGGGCCTCAGACAAAAATGTTCAAAGAGTTTTGGTGAAAATGAAGGCAGTTTCAGTATAAAACAGTTCTAGCCATACTTAAACTACCCCCTGCCTTTAGCATAGAAACTCCTACCCAATAAGTACAAATAAAACTGAATATTTGTATGTTCCCTATGCTCTTAGAAAGACTGTTTTAAATAGTATTCAGTTCACTACACCAAAACAAAATAAACTAGGTAAGTATCATGGGGTAAAGCAAGTTCGAGAGGCAACAGTCTTCTATGGCAGTACTTAAATTTTATATTTATTTAACATTTTATTCATATGTATCAGTAGAATGTCTCCTTATTTTCTGTGTTAAATACGAATAAGAAAGGTTTACAAAGTATTGTAAACTTTTTACAAAGGCAGGTAGTGATAGAGCAAGGGGTAATGGCTTTAAACTGGAAGAGGGCAGGTTTAGATTAGATATTAGGAAGAAATTCTTACTGTGAGGGTGGTCAGACACTGGAACAGGTTGCCCAAGGAAGTTGTGGATGCTCCTCCCTGGAAGTGTTTAAGGCCAGGTTGGATGAGGCTTTGAGTGACCTGGTCTAGTGGAAGGTGTCCCTGCTGATGGCAGGGGGGTTGGAACAAGATGATCTTTAAGGTTCTTTCCAACCCAGACCATTCCATGATTCTATGAATAACACTAAGGTTATTTTTAAAAATTGCATTGGGCTATTACTATAGTAAATCATCAACTGTAGAAATAGATACTTAATGGCAAAATGAAGGGCAATGGGGGAATTACTGTTTGGCCCACCTCATCCATATTTGGTTTATTTTTAAAGTGAGAACTGAAGTTTTATTTAGATGAGCTAGTCTCTAGTAGTATTTAAAATGTTGACAATTACTTCATTAACATGAAATTAGCCTTCAAGGTTTACCATTGTATATATAATTCATACTTACAGTGGCTCTTCCTTCTCAGTTTTCTTACTGCTATGAAGATCCTCTTGTTCCTTCATTTTATCTACAGCTTGTGCTTGTTTTTCAATCTCATTAAAGCTTTGGCTGCTCACTTTCTGTGCTCCCAAACCACCTTTCTTGGCACCAAGCTTGATTTATCGAAAAACAAAAACCAAAAGCTGCAACATTATAACTGAGACAATCACCTCAAGTGACTTAACAGTCAACTTTGAAATAAACAGCAAACATGATACTCTGTTCAGGAGCATAAGCAAACAGCAATGACAATTTGGAGCACAGAAAATATTTTTTCATGTTTTGACTCTCTACGTGCTTCTTCTACCAGCTCTTACAAATTTAGTTAGCTCTGCAGTCAAGCATCACAGGGTAATGAAACTGTTTTAATTGTTCAGAGGTTCGCATGTTCAAATAAATACTATATAGCACAACTTGAGTTTCTTAATAATGATTTTGTTGCATAGGAATAAGATAACAAAATTTGTTGCAATGGAACCATTTGGTGTTAATTCACTTAATTCACAATTTACATTTAGAAGTAGCAAAGATTCTTGAATTAGCCAGTGCTAGTGTGTTATCTTAAGTATTGATTTATTCATATTTTTAATAAACATGTAAGTATTTACTGATTTATGGCAGGAGAGCAATATACAAGTTTTGTATATACACGTATGCATGATTAGCCTTTGCATGTGACAAAGCATTGTAAATTTTTTTTAGATAAACATGCCAGCTGAGAGGTTCCAGTTCTGCACTCATTCTTTTAAAATAATTCTATTTCTATTTCATATTACTTCAATACAGGGATAAATATTCTTTCATTCTGATTATCAAAGATTTAAAACCAGTTAATACTACATATATAATTAGATACAATGATGCTGATTCAGATGGTGGCACAGCACTCAAACTGTTTAGTCTCCTGTGTGTTTAATTCCCCATCTGCAACACTACAGTAATACTAATTTTCACAATACATTTATCTTGACCTTTTAACACTTTAAAGTCTTAACGTAAAAGCTCTGGCCTACGTACATACAGTTTGAGGCTCTGACACTACAGTTCACAAACTGTACGTGTACCTGTGAACCCAGTTATGTTGTTCTTACTGTAAGGGAGCACACCTGCATGTACCACTTAGAATTAATTTCTCTTAAGAATTAGTGTCCTCTAATGGGAGCAAGAAATTATAGGTTTCAATCTAAATTAATCTGCTCCAATAAACCTTAAAAATCTTTTGCCATACAAAAGCCCAGACTTAAAAGAAGCAATTCTCTGTAACATACTGTCACCCTAATAGGCTAATATTAGGGCTATTTTCTCAGGTCTCAAGAGCCATACATTCAAAACCCAGCTTTTCTTGGCTAACTTGAGTTAACTTGTGCTGTCTCACTCAGTTTTCCATTCAGAGATACTCAACTCATGCCTTCTTTACAGAGACCAGATGCCTAAGGAAGTGCTAAGACCCCACCCAGAAACAAGTCTGTAAACTATCTTGAAACTATCTTGAACGGAAGGAATGCAGCTGCAAGTTATCTACAAATACAACCAAATACCATACTGCTGTGCGGTATGAGATGAGGACTGCTCCAGAAATACAGATCTGAATGTCTCAGACTCACCTGGTATTGACAGATTATGCCACACATGCATATTTAGCCACTCACAAGTCCTATTGGAGCTCCCTCTGTTTTCAGGATTTTCTACAACTAACTTAGGTGAAAGTCTGAACCCACTAACAGCAAGTGAGAAAGAAAGGTTACAGGGAATCAGTGGAGTTGCAGGGACAATTGTGAAAAGAACTGAGGAGAAGCAGGATACAGACCTTGACATCAATATATGCTTTGACATTTTTATTTTACTCATTTTTTAAAAAACACACCTGCTGCTCAGGTCCAGATAGCACAAAGAAAATGACACACAGATCTATATGTGGAAGTCTAGACAGTTCAGTGAGCTATGCACATGTAAACAGGCTTAGAATTTATCTGAGGTGAGAAAACAAACCACAGATCTGAAGCACTCTGCTATGTAGTAACACTAACCTGTTAGATAAATTCACCTTAACAATAATCTATTTTCAAACAGACCATTCTCTGTTTTGATATAGAAATTATTTTCAATTCCATTTTAGTTTCATAAATTGTTACTGACACAAGTACTGTTTAGTATTAACTTATATCATACATTTCCATATTGCAATCTACACATTTCCAGAGATCTATAATATAGTTAAAAATATGCATTATTTATATACACTTACCCCCTTCTTAGCTTGATTTGGCTTCTTTTTTATGAAGGTGGTGTTCTCTGCAAGGATTAAATGTACATTACTTGATGTACAATTTTATTAATTCCAGAACTGCAGAAGATAATTTCCACAATATCAGCCTCAAAATATCAGGCTGAAATTTATCTTAATGTCTTGGAATATTATAGTTTCTACACTAAGAGACTGAGATACTCAGCTGAGTTACAGGGAACAGAGATGTGAATATCTCCAAGAAAATGTGGAAAAATACCTCTGATTGAGGATATGGTACCTCTTGCAAATACACAATACTCCTGCAGAATGATCCTCAAAATTATAAATCACTGATATATTTTATTCTATTCTATTTTCCACAACTTTTTTTTTTACTTACTTACAGTATGATACACTCTTCAGTGTTAAGTAAATTAAGACTCTGGACATTGAAGATATTGTATCACAAATACAAGATTTTTTCAGTATAAATTTTTATGTTCAGTTTTCTGAAAAGGGAGCAAAAACTAGGTCTAGATAGAAAGACTGACCTATTATTACAAGATGTGTTTGCTTAACATAAATAATAGACCATTAATCACAGCACAATGCTCTATTCCACCTATGTGCTTTAAATGCAGAACTTAAAGAAGTCTAAAAGGATGTGTAAAACATTAGTGGTCCCCTTTATTAGGTGTGATACCCATAGCATTTAAATTCATCAGGTCGGCTACAATAAGACAGATAAAACCAGAACAACACTAAAATTGATTTCTTACAAGGAGTACACTTTTTAACAGAAGAATTTTGTAACACAGATTCAGATGTTTCAACTAACTCATGCACATTGATATTAAAGTAAGAATTCCAGATCTCTTTCCAGTCATACACTCTCTGTGCAAATGAATATTTAAGTACACTGGCTGCTACCTTCTGCTTACATTCATTACCTAATGCAGCTTTTGGTGATGTACTCAGGCAATCAACACTTGGTCCATGTTCTAGTCCTGAAACATAGCGAATAACAAAGGTAAGAATATCAGAAGGCACTTCAGAATGCTTAAAATACCAAAACTCACTGTACTCAGGGTACTGTTTCATACTTCTAGTGCAATCTGTTACTTCTATCACAGGTTTACCAGTTACTAAAACAGCAAGCACCCAAAGATTAATCTGAAGTCTTTTGAATCAAATTTTAACTTGGATTTCTATTAAACAACATTAAAGGAATATGCAGTCCCACACATTCTAGTATAACCCTTCGAAATAGTCCTTCCCATCCAAAATTCCTGTGTTACTATTAAAGTAGGGTAAAAAGAGTCTAAACAAAGAGACCACTAGAAAAATGCAGCTTACTGCTAGCAAAGAATCAGTCATACCTTCATAGCATTCTGGAATATTTTCTGAAGTTTTTGGCTGTAGCAAAACTGTCTCTGGCTCTGATAACACCCACTCTGCATTCTTCACCTTGAAAAGAATTACAAAATCAAAATCACACACAAAATAGAACACAGCAAATAAACACGAGCACAGAGCTCAAACGCTGCCTAAGCATCACTGATTAGTTAATATGGGATTCTTATGGTTACAGCTTCCAGGTTTAAAACCTGTTCTCAGAAGGGCAGTTATTAAAGTTACAAGAAGTACCTACCTTTATTAAAAGCGAGCTGGTTTCAAATCACTCCTGAGCACCTGTATTTCCCTCTCAGGAATTTCAATATGGTTACCATCCCAAAAAATAATATCCATTTTAACTGTGCTTTAGATTTATTTATTGTATGCTGGCTATTAATTGTCTTTACTCATAACAGTAAAGCAGTACAGAAAATCTGGACCATTTATTTACATATAATCAGCAAGCCTTCCCTTACTAAGCCCTTCCACTTCCAATTTTCTAACATTTAATTTCTGATTGCGAGCACTCCTCCCAAGTCTTCCCGATGAGTCCTCCCATTCCCTCAGACACATCCTCCTCAACAGGCAGGTTTGTGATCAGGTCACAACAACATCAGCTTAGTAGTATCTTTTCTACCAGTGCTGTGCCACTGCCAGTTCATGCTTAATCTTCTCCAAAACTTCAATCTCAAAACTCCCTGACATCTATCTCAAAACATCCATACCTAAATAATCTCTTGCCCTAAGGTACACAGACTGCTTGTCTCCAACCTCCTGCCGTTGCAGCTACTCAAAAAGTTTGCTGTGAAAATTTACTTTATCCTACCCATACGTTCCCTTAAGAGCGTTTGCATCAAGTTCCTACTTCTTGTCCACAACCACTAAAATATTTAAAACACTTTTCTGCTTCAGCTTCTTTCTCTTTAGCTTGTTTTAGTTTATGCTTTTCTCACTCAACTGCAAGCATTCTTCCAAGTTGCCTTTTGCAAACTAAAAAACCGCATTTATTTTTCTACTATCAGGACAGATGATCTTCCGGTAAAGACTAGATTAGAACTCACAATAACTGATTATTTTTTTTTTTTTTGTCTTTGCAATGAGTGTTTCTGAGTAATAGAGCAATCTTCCCAGCCTGTGAAAAGTAAATACTGTTTCAAAGATGCTGAAATTTACTTTTATAAGACATTGAAATATTGGCTGCAGTAGAAGTTCCTAAAATAACACAAATAGCAAAAAGGCTGGATTCCCCTTTAAAATGCACCATTTTTGAAACCTAACAAATACAACAAAAAAGTTACATTTTGAAATGTCACAACTCAATAGCCAAAAGGAAAAAATGAAAAAATATTTTTAAATTACAGCTTTTTTTCATCCTTAAGCATCCTGTATACACTAGAAAGTCACTAAAAATAATCTCATTTTTACTGTGTCCTTTACCCAGGTGCAGATACCAGCAACTTGCATAGGTTTTTATTACTTGCTGCTAATGCACATGCACAACCACAACAGCATGACAAGGGAATTAACATGCATATCAGCTGTTGAAGAGTTTTCACAACAAGGGCTAATCTGATATACCCAAGCTCTTCCATTTCTCTATCCCAAAATATGCCTCATGATCATACTTGTGTTTTAGGTGTTCACAAACTGCAACTGTACTGGGAAGTAGTTATCCTAGAACACTTACTATTGTTGCAATATTTAGGAATGTTAGGTAATAACTTAATTGCTCTAAGTTGAAGTTCACAATCGCTGAAGCTGTTTTTACTGGTATTTTTCAAATACCAGACTCAAGACAGTCTCGTAATCTGTGACACTAACAGAGTATCTACCACCTTAAGGAGGTAGGAACAAACAAATCAAAAACCAACAGTAGCAGTAGCCTTCAGAAAGTTACTTTAACATTTTCAAAGAGGATGTAAGTATTTTGGAGGAAGAAAAAAAACTTTCTACGTAGCAAACATTTTAAGAACTGTTAAACTTTAATGATTAAAAAACTAAGTTATCACACAGTGCATTTAAATCAGAGCACTCCCAAGCAAGGAATCATGAGTCCAAGTGGAATTGTATGTCCAGAAAAAAAACCATAGTTTCATTCCACATTTAGCTACTATTTGGGTAATTCTAATGTATCAACTTAGAAAGTGGTTAACATCCACTTTCTAAGTGGAAACTTTGAGGACCACAGAAGGAAAAGCAGATAAATGTTAACTCGTTGACCTACCCTTTCTCTATAAGGAATTATTTCAGGATTTAATCTTCATCACAGAGCACACAGTTAACCGAAGTGTTTAGAAAACTAACAAAATTAAATACAGGTAATCTGTACCTTGGGAGAAACATGGGATGCAAAAAAGTCTTCCTCTTTGTTCTGAGGTGACACAGGGGGCATTCCACATCCATCCGTCCACAGCTAGAATTAAAAGAGAGAGAGAGAATTTTACAGGACAATTCCATGAATATATTTTTTCAAATGCACTAATCTTAAAACTACCTTTTTTTTTCCAGGTTTAAAATTTATAGAATTGTTTTTTCCCTGGTACATAATTTTTCCTTACAAATTTATTCAAGCATCAATATATGTCTTTCCTTTTTTTTTAAAATTTTCTTACATCTTTTATGTGTCCCTTCACATTACCCATTTCCTTCCTAACAAAATGCACACTACAAGCTACATACTAAATCAATGTTTAGTATCACTAAAGTTTTATAAGTACGTTTTTTCATATTCTCATATAAGGTATTTTCTCTCTAATTTTCTTATTTTGCCCAAAGCAAAAAACCCCCAAAAACATAACACTAGCAGTCATTGTAAATGGTTTTTAGAATTGTATCGGTGTGGTCTGGTACTCCAACAAATTTTCCTACCTAGTCTCAGAGTCCCAAAAGCTCTGCTACAGTTAAAGCAGAGTTTTGCAAGATGCTAACAGATTTGAGCAATGCCTGATCTCAGGGGGAGCTGAAGAGCCGGCAGTGCCACAGATCATTCTGAGCACCGTGCAGGACAGGACTGTAACCTGTGATCTGCACTTCAAGGTGACTCATGGTTCTTTATACTACTTGCAGAAGATACATAACCAAAGATAACCTCTGTCAAAAAGGTTACTGAATGTGCAACAAGCTTACCTCATCATTCAACAATCAACTCTGTCAGTAAGTTACAGAAGAAATTTTTAAAAATGTGACAGAGGAAGGGATGGTTGGTACTAAATCTAATTATCTGAATTGTTTACTTCAGCAACTTAGCACATAATCACTTAAACTTGCAGTACATAATTAAAATATATTTCATAATTTTTAAATGAGAAATACATAATTAATATCAAACAAATTGATAGAATCTATAATTGAAGCAAGATAACTATAGTTCTTCAAAGTGTCATTTGGGGAACTTGCCATCAACTTAAATGCGCATGGTATATAACATTCACTTGAACATGTTTTACATCTAAAGCTGTTTAGTAAGTCAAAAGAAATATTCTCTGACCTTAGTGATGTGAACTATACTGACTATAACATTTATAATATAGAATTATTACAATCCATTACATTTCATGCTATATGATGCCTAGATTGGAAAAAAACCCCAAGCTTTCCTACTTTTAATTCCTACTCATCTGATCAACTTTAAATGAATCAGTCATGGACTTTAATAAGCCAAATTAAACAACCAAAACATGCTTTCTGTGTATGCAGAAGAGAACTCTTGTCAAACTTATTTAACTCCTCAGCAAATTAAGTCTGCATACTTTACTAATAACTTCTTCCTGTCAGCAACCTAACAATGTTTTGGCAGCATGCATGAACTGTTTCAGCATTTTTAATAGAGAACAGTAAGTTCAGGACATATATAACTTGCTAATTTTTCAAATACTATTTTTATAGGGAAAAAAGCAAACCCATACATTTAACTGTTCAAATAAAATCTCACTTAAATAACAAATATTTTGTAATTAATTCTATTAGCACTTTTACATTTCTTCATGCTGTACTTCTCAATAATAACTCAGTTCCAGATAAGCAAAAATAAAAACACCATACAGTTCATTGAGAAGTGCTGACATTTTTGTTACACAACGCCACTAATAGAATTTTGGACCACATCTGCAAACAAAGAAGTTTCCATTTTGAAGAATATCTGAAGTTTCTGCCCAGAACTCTTATAAGTTACTGCAAATGTTAAAATTAATGTTCTGAATAACTCAGAAATGATCCTGAAATACCCAGTTGAGCTCTATCTCAATATTCTTTTTCCAAACAAAAAAGGTAAGCTATAAGTAGTTTACTCCCCAGCTTGCCTATTCACTGCAATGTGTATCAGTACCCCCCAAAAACTTTTGCATTACCAATGAGAAACTTAAAATGACTTTAGGGGGAAAGAAGATAAAGTTTTTCAGAAATCTTGACGACACAGGACACACACTACTCACATCAGTACCGTGTTTTCTTGTTGCCTGTGTTGCAAGAGATTTAATCTTCTCCTTGTAAAGCTGAGCACTACGACTGTTATACTTCGCATTGGTATCGTTTGTTGTGCATCCATGTTGATGGAAAAAAGCAGACTGTGAAGCAGAACACAGAATATGCTATGAGAAACAGGTCTAAAAACTAATGACATTTAACATAAAAATACATCACAATGTAGCAAAATACCCTGCTCCTCTACCTAAATCTAATCTTTTCAATTATGAAGTCTATGTAGATCTCCAACATAAAATAAAAAGTATTATCATCTTCTCAGTATCTAGAATTGACTAGCAAATCATAGCATACATTCTTGCACGAAAGAACACGTCAGACTATTACAGTGAAACACAATAAACACATTTCTGACAGAATCAGCAAGTCTAGATAACCTGAGGCTATGACATCATATGCTGCAAAAGCAAAGCATAAATGTACTATACAAGTACCAGACTTCGTATAAAAATTAAGCAACAACCATGCAGGAGAGAGATAATGCCAGTCAACTTCTGTTATTACAACAGAAACAGTCGTAAACATCACAGATTCCAAAAAGAATGAGCATTTTTGCATTTAAATACGTTCACCTATGAACTTGATATTCAAAGCTTTTTTTAAAAAATCCTAATTCCAATCATTGAGATTTATTCTGGGGGGAAAAAAAAGGGAACTCAACTACGAACACCTCAGATTTTCTAGTAATCTGATACACAGCTACAAAGCTCAGGACTGCCGTTATCTGAGATTCAGCATCATCAAGCAATTATAGAATACAAATGATTAATATCAATCTGATAGTACTTCTAAACAGTAGTTAGTAAAAACAGAATTTGGCATTTAATTGGAACAAAAAGGGAATGTTTTTTCAATACAATGAAGAAAAATGGTAATTTTACTTTTTAAAAAGTCCAGACAGTTTATTAAACTGGTCTTTAAAGTTTCAGTTACTAATCTTTCTAGGTAATACAAAACAGGCCACTGTGATCTTGAGAGGTGGCTGTAGGCATTACACCTCTTGGTACAATGTATGTTAGGAAACTGTGACATCCAAGCAGAAAAACAAAAACTCATAAAATTAAATAATAAAGGTTTACTGCTATTCTTCTGGTAATACAGAATCATAGAATGGTTTGGATTGGAAGCGACCTTAAAGATCATCCAGTTCCAATCCTACTGCTATAACCAGGGACACCTTCCACTAGACCAGGTTGCTCAAAGCCTCATCCAGCCTGGCCTTAAACACTTCCAGGGAGGAGCAGCCACAACTTCCTTGGGCAACCTGTGCCAGTGTCTGACCACCCTCACAGCAAACAATTTCTTCCTAATATCTAATCAAAGCCTCCCCTCTTCCAGTTTAAAGCCATTGCCCCTTGTTCTATCACTCCCTGCCCTTATGAAAAGTCCCTCCCCAGCTTTTCTGGAGCCCCTTCAGGGACTGGAAGGCCGTTGTAAGATCTCCCCGGAGCCTTCTCTTCTCCAGGCTGAACAGCCCCAACTCTCTCAGCCTGTCCTCATAGGAGAGGTGCTCCAGCCCTCGGATCATCCTGGTGGCCTCCTCTGGACTCCTTCTAACAGGTTCATGTCATTCTTGAGTTGGGGGCTCCAGAACTGGACACAGCACTCCAGGTGGGGTCTCAGGAGAGCAGAGTAGAGGGGGAGAATCATCTCCCTCGACCTGCTGCCCACGCTGCTCTTGATGCAGCCCAGGATATTGTCTAAGATTAACTGAAGTACTTTCCAACTTTGTCAACTTTTCTTTCCAACTGCCTTAAACCCTTTGTATAGCAAAGTTTATATAGTTTAACCAAAGATTTAAGTCTTTGGCTAAAAAAGAAAATACTTTTCATGCAAAATCTCCCTCTTCTGATTAGTCAAAACTGTGATTTTTATGTACTAAGTGGCGTAACAGAAACTTGATGAGTAAATTCATACAACAGCAGTATTAATACAGAACAGGGTAACTTAGAAAGGACAGGCAGAAGAAAAAAAGGGAGAAGACACCATGCAATTTCTCAAATCTGTAAGCCAGAGACAGTGGCCTGCTGAATGCCTAATTCAAAGAAAAAGGCTTGATTGGAAAATGCAGAAGTGGAAGATAAATAATAACAATCATGAAGTCCTCATTTTTTGTATGGAAATAGGAAAAAAAAAACCCCACAGAAAAAACAGTAGAATATTAAAGTGCTAGACTTAACGAAAGTAGATTGTTAAGGAAATTGTTAAGAAAATGCCTATGGAAAGCAAGTTCGGGTGAAGTTTACTACAGAAACAACAGTAAGGACAAAGCACAAATGAAAAAGACAAAGGGTAAGCATTCAGGGAATTAGAAGAAAAGTAGAAATTGCTTAGGGAAGTTGCATGTTTCCACAGTGAGTGGGTCAACTTAAGGAAGCAATCTCAGTTATTGGTTGTCAAGCTTCGCAAAAACATGGGCAAACAGGCAAGATTCTGAAAGAGCTGACAAAGGAAAACACCCTCTTTTAAAAAGGAGACTGAAAACAATACAGCAGTCAACACAACTTCAATTTACAAAATATCGTGTAACAAACTTATTTGTAAGTACATGAAAAGCCAAGTTGAAAGTAACAGCCAATATGAACTGGCCCAAACCAAAACACTGCTATTTCTTTTTTGACAGTGCAGCATGTTTTATCTTCACTCCAGTTGTACCTCAGGTGTAATTCAGATCTTGACTTCAGTGTGACTTTTGCCAGTGACATGATTTTTGGCAGGATATTTTCACAAACCATGTAAGGAAACATGGTCAAAGGAAGATGCCCATAAGCTAGGCTAACAACCTGTTGGAAAGCCATCTTTCAGCAGCTGTCAATGTTTCCCTGTTAAATTAGACATATATGACAAGGAATCTGATCTGGCCTTTTCAGTGATGTTTATTAATGACTTGTATGTAAAAATAAAACATTTGCAGATTATACCAAGATGGAAAAGTTGCAAGAAGCATAGAGGATGAAATCAGCATCCAAAGGAATTCTTAAAAAAAAAAGAGAGAGAGAGAGAGAGAGAGATAAATGGACTGGAAAAATAAAAATATCCCCAAGATGTGAGACAACAAGGATAGACAATAGCTTCCAAGCCTAACAAGCTTCAACATGCAAAGCAAATACTCAGGAGTACATACAGCATTTGCATTTCCTCCAACTTGCATGCATCTCAGCTGAAACCAAGACCAATTGGAATCCAGTTCTGTAGATCTAAACAGAAGGAAATATTTTTAATGTTATCTCCAAAGCCATTTGAAATCTCTCTATCTTTTTTTTTCCCCAAGTGTTTTTCTCCCTCCCTTTTTTTTCTGTAAAATGAGAAACATGCACCTATAGAAAAAAAATCTGCAAGAATACATAATGTGCAAAACAAATCAATAAAGCCACGTAGAACTGCCAGTTTTTCAAACTGTAAAAGCTTGAAAAAAAATGTACCCTCTGTCTGACAGGTTTTCCCTTTTAAAAAGCACCATTAAGACACAATTTCAGGAATCACATTTTAATTCTGTCAATAGCAGGTGACAATCAAATGTAATGGACAAAGTAACAATTCAAATGTCATATCACACCAAAAATCTAGGGCTCAGTGAGTACAAGGAGAATCAATACCGTGATCACTGGGAACAGATTGCTGAGAGGCCTCTTGTAATGCTCTTGTATACAGTGAAAAAGTAGCAGAGGAAGAATTTTAGTGGATGGAAAACTGCTGCTTTTATCTGCAATCCATTCTTGGATGCATTGCTTTCACTCACTTCAAGCAGAACCCTACAGTTCAAATACATAACTATTTATTAGGCCAAAAAGACCCTCAGGTCATCAGTTAGAATACTCACCTGAAACGTGACAAGATTGGGCTGCAGATTTACTGCACCAACTGATTAACTGAGTTAAACAGCTAAACAGCTGCCAAAAGGGGTAGCCCTTTACAGCACCCCAGCACTGGCACCCAGGTGACACCAAAACGAGCTACTTCAGGAAGCAAAACTGTCAAAACATTATTTAGCTCTCTGAACTGACTTGCTAGGAGTCAGATTAGGACAACTGTAATGCTTTTGCAGATAACTAGTATTTGCCTCAGACTTGATTTGGAGGAACGATAAAACACTTCAACATGCTTACTCTGTTCTTTATTTTCGTCATCTTCCATGTAGAAAGAGACCTGCCAACAAACGTGCACTACTAATACAACAAGCAGGTAATGGGAATGGGGGCAAGGTACAAATTCTGCTGATCCCTACCTATTTCCCTAATTCCCAAGCAGCAATCAGATACATCAAAGCCAATATAAACATTAAAAAGGTCTGAATCTGTAGCTGAGAGAAGAATGGGTTTTCCTCTCTGAGCAGGCATTTGAACAAACTAACAAAAACATTAAAAGATGTAATTTTTGCTACAAAAATATACAAACCAAATATACTTACCGAATGAAACTCAAATGAACACCAAGTGATCGATGGGTCCCTGAACAATCAATACAGAGAAAAACTCCATACGTTATGCTTGCCCAGCTAGGGTTCTTTGCTCCGCAGTCAAAACATACCTTAAAGAAAATAAAGTAGCAGGATTTGAGTATAATCATGTCTTATAGTTGTGTTATAGGTCACGCTAACACCTTTGCAGTGATCAAACTTCATTAACTCATCCTTGCAGTATCTATTGACATGACAACTTCATATTATCCTAATTTTATAAATATAAAGAGGAGTTGTGTGTCTCTCCCTAACCAGGCAGCATGACATGCCTTCACAGTTTCCGACTGTAACCAGTGTACACAGAGACAGAAATGGTGGGTCAGAGAACCCACATCGGTCTAGTTTAAACATACATTTAACATAGTACTTCCAGCACTACTGAAATACAAAAGCGTTCCAGAAATATTTTCCCAAGGGCAGGCTCTCTTCAGGATGTACCACGGAGCCTGCTGTTCCCTCAGAACACACGTGTGACTGCAGTTATCGGCAGCACTAATGACATCATTCTCTGTTTCCTATAGAGCATCCTCAGCCCCTAGAGCAAGCCACTGGAACCCAGCTGTGTGAAGAAGCATCCACGCTGCGTACTGCCTGGCCAGGCACTCTCTGCCAGACATGACTAACCATATGATGTATCACACAGGTATTGCTGTATCAACCTTTTAACTGTTCGTAACAGACTGGTTAAAAAGCAAATATGCCCATAATTACTGCAGAGACAAAACCAAGAATTTCTTGTCCTCAGCCACCACGTGAGACTCTTAACATTCAGCCAAAACTACAAGAGGTATCTGTGTCTACATCTCATATACTTTGCAGGTCTGCAGACCACAACTTTCAAGCCTTGTTTCAGTTATTCTGAATTTTGTACTTCTTTGTCCAAGGAAAGCAAGAACAAAAAATTTATCTGATATCAATTTTTAAGTGCAAAGAACAACACAAATTTAAACAGAAACAGCTATTCCTAGTTAATGCCATGTGTACACATCTATTCCTGTATGAAAGCACTTCATTATCTGATCAATGCTTTTTCAGTGGTGTTTATAAAGGTTACAAAGAAGTACTTCTACAGTAAAAACACCCAGCTATAGGTACAGTCAGTGGCATCTACTAAGAAATAACTCCATGGAGTGATAATCTTTTATACACAAATTGATGGAGTTCCAATCTGCAACTTCATTCTTTAACATCCTCCTATAAATCGAATGAATCCTCAGAGAGCAAGGGAAGTTCTAGTTATATGCAGAAAGAAAAAAAAAAAGTTTCTTCCAAATCAGGTGAGGACATATTTACATCCTACACACAGGCCACAATGCTTCCTTCACTCCTTGTCAGGCTGGAAAAATAAAAAGTCAAGAAGTTTCCTTGCTAGAAACTCCATTCATGCAACTAAATTGAGATTTTTGTCTTTATTTTTTTTTTTTACATACCCAGTCAAACAAGACCTCAAGTCAGCTCACCTATCATTCATCCAAATTAATTTCAAGTACACACCCAGGAGCAGTTTGAGGCTAAACTCTTCATTTTAGTGTGGGTCCAGATAAGCTTATACAGTCCAAATTTTTCAAGCACAAGCAAAGTTCACCAGCAGATCCAGCATTAGTTCTTCTGACATATGAATATTTTAAGCCTGAGCTTCAGTTCAGCTAATGACCAGTAACACAAACAGAAAGCACGGAGGTCACAGTTTCTGCGTGTGCAAGTCCCCTCCTTCCCTCTCCACAAAGATTTAACATTTATTAATGGTAAGTCACTTATGTGTCCCATATCGTATGTGGGAATGGGGTCATTCACTGACATACAGCAGAAAGAAGAAATAAAAGCTACACAGAATGAGTGACAAAAGGAGGGGTTAGAGGGAGTCCCTGAAACAAGCACAGGTGGAAGAACAAAATATAGGGAGTTACCAAAAAAGAATTAATAACTCTCTCTATATATGTCATATTCTAAGAAAACACACAGCCTTAGTAGTCAGAACTCGTTATCTTTTTCCCAATTCTCTCTATTCTTTGAAGCAGTTCCTTTAAAAAAAAAACCCAAAACAAACAATGAGCCTCATCTTCATTTTCAATTGGCTGTTTTCAGGCTTTTTCTTAAGAGGCCAAAAGGAGGATGGGGACAACAAAACAGGAGAAGACTCTGCTTGAAACAAAAGCTAACAGAACATCCATGGTCTCACTTCTCATACAGGAGAGCAAAGCAGACTTACAGGCCTAAGTCTTGTGGAAATTCCCTGGAGTACAAATGGGAAACGAGAATCTTGAGTATCAGTGGGTGGTTAAAAAAAAAAAATTAAAAAAAAAATCCCACATTTAAAAAAGTTCAGTTATAAACATCCTTAAAGATCCTCCCCCCCACCCCCATACTATTATAAGGACTCCTTAATTTCAACATCTTAACAGTCAATTGCATCACCTTGGAAGCTAGCTGGCACATAGCAGCACATCTCAGTATCTTCACTCATGCAGGACTCTCTATCAACTATTTACCAGACACCCGTGAAAATTGCTCATATGCATAAAAACTGTCACTTTTAGGATTGTGATGCAAGTAGGAGCGTCTAAATTTGCTGTGAAAGTAATCTAAGAACTGCCATTTCCATCGTGTTACGCAACAGAAATAGAACCATGTTTCATTAACATTTACTCATTTTGCTTAGATTTCTCAATGTTTAAGGTGCTTCCCACCACATAAATTTTAACAAGAATTGGGGAAAAAAACCAACAAACTAATTTCAGAGCCACCCTATGAAACTGTTTCCATTTTACAAACAAATAAAATGTACTCTCTGTACTGATTTAGGTACAACCAAAATATCAAAATAAATCTAAAAAATAAATTTGAAGGATATGCTTAAATAATCTGTTGCTTTTAAAAACACACTTGCATTCTTTTTGCTTATTATGTGTTAGAGCATTTCAGGACAGCCTAGATTCAGTGATAGCCACTTAAAGAACAAAATCCCTAGTTGAGATGTTTATACCAGAGCAAACACAAAGACAGATACAATCTGCAGCAAGCAGTCATTAAATCATACAACATCCACCTTGCACAAGATATCTGTGCTAATAAATAAATACTTAACGTACGTTGTTATTGGATATGGAAATTAAATAACATATAGACTACAGAAATGTCAGCTTTAGAACTTCAGGAGAGGCGAGCAGGTTCAGCAAGCTTATCCCTGAGGTCATGGTTACACAGACACTTTCAGCCTCCCAATGTCGCAGGTCTACAGCCAGAGGGAAGCTCCGCATCTCCTTGTGCTTCCCATTTCCTAGAGTGCCTGGCTACCACACAGCCACACCAACACTAAACCAGCTAAAACTCAGGAGGTGGTTTCACACTTGGTTAAATGTGATCCAGATCCAAGCAGCTGCTCTCTTATTTACCAGCCACTGTGTCCAGATATTCTCTCCTTCTTTTCTCTTGCATCAGCAATAATAATCAGACTTGATCCTACTGGAAATGAGCACTGCAGTGCTTTGACTCAGAGCAAAGGTAGGTCCAACTCACAACACAGCCACATGACCAGCACTGCCAACATAAGAGAGGGAACAGCAGTGTTTGCCACAGGAAGATGACAGGACTGCCCATTTTGGAAGGGTTATGATCTTAAAATGACTTAAGTGAGACATGATATACTACACTCTCTTCTGGGGCAAAAAACCCACCACCCTCCAACACACACAAACCACACCGACAACACACACCCAGTAACAAACCTGCACAGCTGATAAAGCAGCACCACAACACACATGCTTAGTTTTCAGGCAGTTCAGATCCTTGATCTGAGTGTCCGAGCAGAGACATGAATAGTATCATCAACAGAAGAAAAGAGAGAATCAGAGAGAAGAGAATGAAAAACTACCACTTCCAGAGGAACAGATCTATGCCAGGTGTGCTGTTCAGCACAGCCTCAGGGTGCAAGTCTTCAAAACAGATGAGCTTTACAAACACTGAACAAAACAGGTGGCTTAAGGACTATGAACACTTTTATATGCGCTAAACACTTCCTATTTAATAATTGTAACATGTTTGTTAAATGCCATCAGGTGGCTCTAAATTATGTAATACCCAAAGACACACCAAGAACTTAAAAAAAGCTTTCTCTTGCTATATAAAATAAACTAAGCTCAAATTACATGTATATTAACTTCAAGATTATTCAAATATCAGTTAAACACACTATAAGCCACAAATTAAACTGCACATTTATTTAAATGAAATTATTTTCCTGAGTTCACATGCACTACGAATTGCTGCAGAGCACCTAGCACAGTGCAAATGCATACGTGTCCTTATAGCAAGCAGTCGGTAAGGCCAGCTGCTGAACTGAAGATATACCAGTTCTTCCCAAACTGTGCACATAAACAACGCAGTTAAAGCATATTGCTGAATTTTTTATAACAGAACTTTTCCCAGTGTTTGCATTTCTTTCCCATGACTGTCCTTCCCAGCAGAAAAGCCCTACAAATAAATGGGGCAGATTGCATAAGAACACAAGAAAAAGGAAACAAACCAAGATGTAATCAAACATGAGAGGATAAACTGACGACAGCAACAACTTGTACTTAAGACAACTGGTAGATACACAGGCACGGGAGAGTTGTGAGATCCAAGCTGTTGATGTTTCCCACTCTCCTTCCTCTCTGTCTTTATGGGTTAACAAGACCAGGCTTCACTGCAGTGTTCATACGAGTTCTCCACACCTGAGCTGCTTCTTTCAAACTGACCCAGTGTGAGTGGCAGCACACCCTGTACCACTATTACTTTGTCAACATTGGCACTAAATTTCTATGTAGCACCTGAGGTCACTGCAGAGAGACAGGTATGCCTGAGTGACCACAGGTACCACAACCACCTTACAAAGTGCAGCATGGTAACGACAAGTTCAGAACTGTTCAAGGCACTCCAACCTCACATTTTCCATCCTCACCATCTATGGGCAGTACCTTCCGATTCTCTCGTGATCCCAATATAGAAAAGGTATCACAACAGCATTACAGAACTACTCAATCTCTAGACACAGTGCCAGCGAACTTCAGGAGCCTGTAAAAGATCTTCT